GATTATTTATGTTCGTTTGCTTGACTTATACGCAAATCTTGTGTTTTAGCTTCAGCAGTGTACGGTCGCGGCTCTGAAGGACATGTGCGCTAGAAGCGGTATGAAGTTGCAAGCGACCCGAAAGGCGGACATCATACAAGAGATCAAGGATCATTACGGAGTGTGATTTTTAATTTTATGATAATTAGTTTTTTTCTCAATCTGTGTTATACCCATACAAAGAAAAATAATTTTGGCGTGAATGGTTGAACCCCGGCTGAAAAATGGCTCACTGAAGAAGTCAATTTTGTAATATTAAACTATAATGTATTTTCTTCTGATCATTACGTTGAGCTATGTACATAGGCAGAACGTGTCTAGGTTGAGATGTCCTATTTTTAGCAGTTTTGCAGCATTTGTTATAAGACAGCAGTTACTGCGTCGCAAAATTAATTATTCCTCGCCAAAAGCAGATCTGTCCTGTTGCTTCGGGTTGCATGCTGGGCTTCCCTTCTGATCGACGTTTACGAGATTTCGGCTCCTACACGAGAAGCGCACGCATTCGCTGGAGTAAATGGCTTATGTTAAACCAGTTTGTCTAACAGTCTACCTCATTTTCATAGTCTCCGCATTTACGACCGGCATATGAATCCGGAATGAAACGGATTCATTGGTGATGTGATCCCGCTAAAGAAAATAAAAATTTTGCTTTAACAAAGTGAAATAATCAGTAACATCCTTTAGCAATGACTTTCCATTAAAGCGATCAAAGTAGATGGAATTTTTCTTGCTGTTAGTTGCCTTTAATCAAGCAGCTCAGTATACACCGTGCGATTCATTTATACATCTGTCACTGCACGTTCGCGCCTATATCAAACTGCAGTTCTCTTTGTATTCAGTTGCTGCATTCCGTTCAATCCTCTGTGACTTATTCGACTGCATGTCGTATTTCCCTGTACACTGGTGGCTTGCTCGAGAAATGTTGCATCAGAGAGTGAGATTGAATCTGTCAAAGCATTTAGAGTCTCAGTCATTTCTAGATCAGAGCCATTCCAAACATTTTCAAATAACGCTTCGACATCACATCAGTTTTTCCATTTACCTCTTTGCGAACGGTGTCGTTTCTAAGCTTATATATTCTTCGACTTCGTTGAGCAGTATGAGACATTTTCTGCGTTCAAAAGATCAGTCTGTTTGTTTAGTTTATTTGTTGCACTTCCGTACTTGGAAAAAGTAATTTTATTAAAATGCAGTTGGTTTTATCTACGGCTACTTTTGTCTGCTCAATTAAAGTTAAAACTAACGTATGTACCATTACATCTATTAGTGTTTCGGTTCGGTTTGGTTCTTCGCTTTAGCAAGACTGTTGCCCCTCTGGTTGCGGAAAATGTAATGACCTTCGAGTGGGTGAATTACGGGTAACATTGCCAGTGAATATATGAATAAGCACTTGCGGATAATATGAAAGCTCTTTTGAAGACTGTAGTCTGACCATTGGCGAGATTGATTTAAAAATATCGTGAACCTTACTAATTCACTATTATCTGACGAGCGCATGTATTGAAGTTGTAATTGGTATCGTCGGTAAGATACTATATAGCAAATAAACGTTTGGAAATGAAAATCTTGATATATCGAAAAGTAGAATTGCGTTTGAAAGAAGAAGACAGCATCAATTGCAGCATCAGTACAAAGTAATACGTTAATTAAAACCAGAACTCATGCAATGAGTTTAAAATGCGAGGTGTGTCTTGGCAAGTTACTAGCATCAGTGTCTTAGACAGAAGTCTAGTATACTGAACCATGATGGTGTTTGATTAATATATACAATTTCTTAAAAGGGCAGCAGCTGCAAGCATTTTGCACAGGAATCGACTTTCTCAAGCTGGAACGAAAGATAATAAGCACTTACTAGAATAACTTGATCTGGGACAGATCATCAATTGAACCTTAGACAGGATTTCACAAACAGAAATTGAAGTCTAACGACAAAATTGTGTGACATCAGGCATACCGGAGTAACGGAACGTAATAATAAATATTACATAATCTTATAATTAACCTGCCGGAATGGTGCGTCCTAAAACTGAGCGTATGAAGAAATATTGCCAAATGGTGACAGAACTGAGTAATGGGCGACTTTTATTCGCCTTAGGCGACAATATAAAAACATCTCTATTAAATAGGCACACTGCAAAATGCATACAAGTTATTGTCAATACGGTCTGCTGAAGAGGTGCAGCACATTTTCCACGTATATAAATCAAATCGTCATCTACTGCTATTTCGAATCTTAAAAAACAGATGTTGGACTCCTGCAAACTGCTCAGTTATGGATATTTCGGAATATTCATGACGAACATTACATATATTTGTATGCAAATGATTTTGTCGTTTTATATCGTTATATGAAAAGCAGCAGCTTAACAGCTGAATCTATTCCTGATTAATGATATGCGAGTTTGAAATTGCACAGATTCTCTTACGCTACACTACGGTTAATTAACATTTTATTTCTATTTCAAACTGAGCGATGATCGGTTGCAACTAGCTTCAGGTAGCCAGCCGCGTAAACGTAGATCACCGTAACAAAGTAGAAACTGGACAAGGATTGGAGGCGCTCTTCTCTACGTAACAGAGGGATGAAGGTTCCGCAATCGTAACGACCAAATGTATCAGCAGCACGGTGCAAGGTGAGTGCTCATTAGCCAGCTGATTAATGCAGATTAACCCTTGACGATTAGCAAAGGAACCGCACGTGTGTAAGCGGACCAGTTCGCGATATGAAGAACTAACAGTAAGGTCGCAAACAGAGATAACTGTTTGTGGCCGCTGCCACCTGTGCATATTATCACATTTTATAACAGCTTTAGTCTCGATACTGAGGTCGTTTCCTTAACAAACCTGACCGGATTGAAACGCTGCCGGACAACGGTCGGATAAGGATTTATTCATCGTTCAGCATACAGTGTTTGTTTGCAAAGCCATCATTAATATTAGTAATTAATTTCCAAATTCATAACTTGGCGATAAATAGGATTTTTTAGTGGTCTATTTTAATCAGAAAACTGAGCTGTGGCATCGTATTTGCCTTGGGTACTTCTCAGTAATGTTTAAAAGTGAAGTAATGATCCACAGGTAAAACAATTCCATAACACCGACGGACGTTGTTTAAATTACAGATTATACTATAGCTGGTGAACGGTAATGCATGGAGTAGGTAAATGCTTGTTTCTCTGATACTTTTGTGATGCTTTTGTTGTTTTCCTTTGCTTCATTTTTGTTCACATTATTTAATCATGGTTTAGTGTTTTATGCTTTCGATTATTCCTGTTTTACTGATCGGCGGAGTAATTTTTAGAATTAAAAGTTTTATTTGTTGCTGGAACTCTCGTTGGAAGTGTCCTCAGAAAATCGTTTCCATTCATGGAGAAGCCTATTGCTTTCGGCATTTGAACGTTACGCCGATATTATTCTTAAATATCTAGAATTGGATATGCTTTTTGATTTCATTTCGCATCACAGATAATAGCCAAGAAGTTACTTTTAGACATTTTATTCTCGACGGTGTTGCAGGATAGATCGATTGTTTTTAAATTTTTTCTGTTTTCGGTGCTTCTAACCATGTGGCCGAAAGGTATATCCATATCTTAAGTTTCTTCGTCACTTTGCTTACCGTAATAAGGTTTTCCATCTCATGGGCGCAAATTACAGTTTTGCATCTATTAAACACTCCGTGTCTTATTTCTAAGCATGTGTGATTCGATTTGTATTTTGATATATTACACTTCTGTGTATCTTTTTTATGTTAAGTATCTCTTCATATTGTGTATTTTATTTGCAGCAAAGCGGCGGGATCCCCCATATTTCATTACCTGCTACATCAGTAAATTTGACTTGACGTAGAGTAATGCACTGATGAATGTGTTATTTGAAAGTTAACCATACGTTTTGAAAAATGGGTGTTTCCTAGATTTTGAAGGGCAAGTTGCATGACCAACAACCTTTTTCGGCTCATGCTGCCATCAGTCAAGAGATATTTTAACAAACCGCTTACTCCCTCTTGCAGCTTAGTCTGTTGTCTCTCTGATTTAGCGACGGAAGGTTCTTGCGATATTTCCTGCTTATTGCCACTTCAACTTCTTCTTCCGAGTAGTGGTATAGCACGCTCATTTTTATACTCTTTCTAATTCATCTTCCTTTCCTTCCTTGTTTCTCCCAGTTTCGATATCTGCGTTGCTTAACCTGTAGCGCGTGAATAGCTTTCAGGCTTAGGGCCCCGTTTTGTTTCTTTTAACTACCCTTAAATTGAGGTTTGTACATACAGTAAACGCGGTGCCTTTGCAACACGTCTCTTATTCTATCATTTCTGTATTTCTTTGATGTACACTACAGTAGCGAAGGTAGATAGTGGATATATGTATGTTGCCTCTGTTTATGTGGAAGCCGTGATCGGACCTACTCTGATAAATATGCTGTTTTGTGGCACTTTACTGTTTGTTCCGAAAATCAGTTTTTATGTGAAAATATGCGTTTAGGACGTTTGTAAAATGTAGAAAATTCTTGTCAGTTTAAACACGCATATTTGAATTTTTGAATGCCAGTTGTACTCGTTTAATAAAAATGAATCCTAATATTTGATTGTAATATATTTGAATGTCCTAAATAGTATTTTGTACTTTAATAAATATCGTTGAAATCGTTTCAGTCGAAGTAATAATATGAAAATGATCGAATTCGGTGCGAAGGAAAATTTGGAGTCCCAGCTACTCAAGTCCACCGGCAAGAAACTAGCCTCCAGAGGAGGGTTGCCATCCCATACCCCTTTGCAACCGCTGTCGAGAGGTAATGCACTGACAAAGAAGAAGGCGTTCGGCGAAATTAAAAACACGTCGTACGGAAACACCGCTGTCAGTCAAAAGCCGCAGAGTAAAGCCTTTGAAAGTAAATGCTTTTTGATAAAAAAAAACCCGATATTTTTGGGGACCTTTTATTGCGTTTTGATGCACTGTTTTCGGTGCTCCGTGTAAGTATTTGTTAATGCCACGCAAGAAGATGCTTCTTTCCGCATAGATGCAGCCTCCAACTGCAAGACTATACCTTTAGAAAGTGACATAAAACACTGTAGAGCAGATAGATTCCTGAAATGCAAATTAATTTTGTTATTAGTGATTTTTTGTAGAGTTCAGGCCTTGTTTTCCTGATGATTAAGTTCCCTCTCATAACGGAACTCCAAAAGTGGTAGCTTGCCAAATCTGTGTGAAGTGGATGGGTGGTATCTTGCAATATACGTTTAGCGAAGGAAATGGGACTGTCATAAACATTCTCTCTCTGATGTTTGAATCGAATACTTTTCTTTGGGTTGTCCAGCTGCAAACTTCCATCGTATATGTGTATATAAATGCATCAGTTTCGCTTAAATCAGTATATATAATCTGTTCATTAATTTTTACTTTTTAGGTATATTTCTCGGAATATCTAAAATTTTAAAACAACGTTTAAAATATCTATGTATAGGCATTCTATATGGCACTGATGTTTCAAACTAAATTGGGCTAACCATTCTTCATTGCCCTTCAGTAGTTTGGCATGAAAAACTGTCAGGAACAGTTTTCTTTGTTCCTCTCAGCACTGACTGTACGGTCAGTTACACTAAAGCTCTCATCGAGTCTAAGTTATATTCTCACAAAAAATACTTCTGAAGAAATGCAGTAAAGTATATAAATATGCAGTTTCTGGAGAACAGATAACGTTCTCTTCAACCCGCGGTATATAAAAGTTTCTGCAGAAAATAAATTTTGTGCCAACGTGTAAAACATTTTTTAACAGATTTTATTGCCAGATACAATTAAAATAGCACAGCAGTAAAAAATTCATACCTTATTTAATCACTGTTTTAATGCTGTCTTTTGACGCAACAGTTTATGTTATTTTTTCGTCACATGCGTCTTAATATTGTATTAATGATGTTTATTTTATTTAAGCAAAATCTGTCATGAAGGATAATTTCAGTCGGTATGGCGTAGGTTGCCGACACCAGCTAATTGAATAATACGAGTAGTATAAATAAGAAACAGTATAAGGAATCTCTTTAGAAAGTCACGTATAATGCCGCGTGGAATACTCTGAGAGATATCAAGACGCAAAAATTTGTTTACGCCATCTTGCCAGCAGCTTATTGCAGTAAATTCAAACCAAGCTGTTTAGATAAAATTGAATTAAATTTGAAATAAATTTATTAACAAAAAATATAAAATCATTTTCGGGCACGTGATTAGATCCGCGATGCTCTTTGTAACGGCTTTTACTGTGTTTCATTAATTTACTGTGATTTAAATGTCAT